TTCATTGTTGTGATTGTCTGCACGTGGTTTCACAGTACGTTTCTATAATTACGGTACTCTAAGTTCTGCAAAGACTTGTATTGAGAGAATTAAAAGTAAGAAGAGACAAAGGTATCACAGAAAACTTTTTAGCATTTGGACTGATATTACTGCAGACTGGTGAAAAGCAATATCTTTTTCTCTGAAAATGAAATTCCCTCAACCTTTAAACCCTTCTCACTACTAGGCCTTAACTGCACTGAAGAGATTAGTACATGTAAAACAGGTAAGTATGGTAAGGTAAGTATGATTGAAGTATTAAGACTGCTTGTTTTTGGCACTTATAATAATTGCAAATTAATCAATTAACATTACCTGCTTCTAAATAGAAGTTTATTCAACATATTTTGATGGCTGAAATTTACTGTGTGTACCTTTATCACTGAAAATGTTGGAGCCATCCCCCTTTATCAGCCCTGCAGCCCTTCCCTAGGGGGGAGTCACAGGAAGCCCCAGACGGGATTGTTCGCATTTGAATTCACATCTCAGCCATAGCCTGATGATCTGGGATCTGAACTCACCCTATATCTCCTGGTTCTTGATTGCAGCTGCTCTGTGGCCAGAGGCACACTAGCAGCCACGCTGGGCGGGCTGGTCCCTTCCTCATCTGATGGAGAACACTGTAGGTGAAACACCCACAGTACTAAGGTTGAATGGCATGACTTTCTTGCAGGGCAACAAAACAAAAGAAAAGCAAAAACACCCACTGGTAATAAATCTGCACCTGCAAAATTTACACCGTTATTAAATACTGTTAGTAAAAGTAAGCACCTAAATGGACAAGTTGATACTGGGGAACTCATTTTCGACCTATTTGTCAGGGTGCTGATACACGAGCATTAGTCTCACCAAATGACAGACTGACCTTGCTCTGCAGACAGCTGCTTTGTGTTAAATGCATGCCCATTACCACTTACATGACAATGACTGTACTCACATGGGACTTAAACTGACCTTTTCTGTGACGTCACTGTCAGGATAATGGAACTGGAAAATGAATCGGTTTTTAGATGATGCCAAACCACCTATCTATATCAATCCACCATGAAACGTTTAACACCCAAGCGTCCCAGAATCTCTGTCTCCCTTATTATCTTTCTAAGATGATGTGTCATCTGCTACTGAAAATCAATGCAAGCGTCTGCACAATGCAGCGTGATTACTGCAAAGGAAATGCCAATGAGGCCCACACCAAAGGTTAACCTGTCAGTAGCTCTAAACAGGGGTCTGTATGCAAGATACTGATGGCCTTTGATTTCCTTCAACACTCCAGGGCTCCAAAGCCTTCATGGCCTCACCGAAAACCTCCGACTTCCACATTGGGTGTCAACTAAGACATCAGTTACTTGTGAGGTTAGGGTGGTCATCCTGTACCAAGGATTCCCTCACTCCTTATTTCTGTTATGTCATGTTCACCAAGATAATTTGTAACAACAAATGGATGATTTCTCTCCCATTATGTATGAAGAAACAGAGCCTCCTGTCAAGGTTACCATGAGGTGCACTACTGATGGACTTGATCTCACATCAAACTGTGCGGGTTATGCACACCCAGCAGTCCTTGCAAAATCTGTGCAGAACTGAGCTTGAGGGTGTATGACATGCAAACCCAGCAATCAGGACAGATTAAATACATAGGGGCTGATCTCACACACACACACACACACACATCTTGTTAATAGCAGCACTACACCACTTTTATGCGGATGTAACTCATAATGTGTAGCCACAACTAACAATTATTTGTATTATAACTCTCTTATTATAGATTATTATTTTTGATTAACAAAAAGAAAATAGTGAAAAACACCAATCACAATTTTCCACAGCCCTGGCAAACATTTTGAAATGGTTTCCTTTGTCCAATAAATAATCCAAATTCCACAGAGATTCACTTTACAATAGTGGAAAACAGAAAGCAGTGGTCTGACAGTTTGGATAGTTGTTTACCAGCAGCAACTGACCTGTCTGCTGGGTTATTAACCTCAATGATTTATTGCATATCTAGATCTCTGATTCATTTTTATGTCACTTGACTTAATCAACAAATTATTTTAGCAATAGCATAATGACCTCTACTAAAGGTAAATCAAAAAAACAAACAAGCTTGATTACAATGGAAAACCAGAATCCTACATTATACTGCAACTCTGTTTATTTGCTGTAGCTGAATGTACTAAAGGCAGCTACTGTATATGCCAGTGAATGTTAACAGCAACTGAAAAAACTTTTACCTCAACAAACCTTTTGTTCCGTGTTGGTTCTTATGGGTTTGTGATTTCTCGACACACTTTACGCAGATAAAATGTAGCACAATGATTAATAATGACGCTTGTTTACATCTTATTTGGGTTAACTCACTGTGTAGCCCCATCTGTTCCAATTTGCTTAAGTGACATGGCATGCTAATATTCACAGCTGTGACATGATCAGACATCTCCCAGCAGAGGTTTCTTAGCCTTGTTGTGAAGCCATTATGAATCCAAACTGAAACAAACATATTACAAATTACTAAATGATCTGCTGGGACCTTCCATGGCAGGTAAAGAGAAGCAGACAATACAAATACAGTGTTTCCTCATTCTAACTTAATCAGGTTGTGATTTGTAAGTAAAGCACAATTCACTTGGTTTAGATGCCCACTTATATTTTACTGCTAATTATGATTGTATGCAACTATTCTGCACAAGTGATTTTATTTTTGTAAAGCGGCATTACCAGCATTTGCCCTCAGCACAGGCAGGGCAGGTTCACGCTCCTCTAATGCTGTGAGTAGGTAGCCTTTACTTTTCCCCCCTAACTTCAAATCTGCATGAATCAATATTTTCTATAAATAATGTGTCAAATAACTTTGTGAATTCTGGATTTATCCCTGCAGCTACTACAGACGCTTCCACAGGTGTCGGTATCGACCACAACAGAGCTAAAAGAAGAGTTAACATTTGGACTTAAATTAATCAATTATGATGCCAAATGAATCCTGATGTTACTTTGTGTCTGCTGGATGTGTAAATACAAAACTGTTTGCTAAAACATTTGCCGTAAGGTAATAACACACTGACAGGCCGCTTTATTAGGTACACCTCTACAACTGAATGCATTTCAGTGCAACATTTCAGCCTTAACTAACCGGACAAGTATCATTTAGAGGTCTCATATGTTGCCACATCAGTTTTATTTGTTTCTTATTTGGGTTAAAAATGGTTTGATTTCTGTTATCTATTTACTGTAGCTGTTACCAGCATTTCTGAACTTAAAACTGGTTAATCTTGATCCTTTTTGAAAGTTAGTTTCAAGTAGTCATTTGGTCCTGGAGTGCATCTTACCTTGTTTTTAAAAGGTGGCTGACAAATCTGCTTCCCGTATTGTGGTCTAGCAACATTTTGATAACCAGTAAGGGCAGTGATCAGTTCCAGTTGGCTGCACAAAACAGCTGAGTGAAAGTGCTCTTCTTCACTGACATATCAACATAAATCCTGGGGGGGTACTCACAGAGCTGTTGTTGGCTGGCTGTTTCTGACAAACTATCCACAGAAAACTGTTTCTGAATAAATCAGTTTGAAAATAATTATTTGTTTTGTATGTGCAACAACATTTTGAAATTGGAAACTGGAGATGAAATTGGCCAAGCCATTATATAACTAGTTTGTCGGTGTTCTGGCGGCGGCCTTATGTTTTAACATGTCATTGTTAAATCCAGAACAGGATACAGAACGTTGCATATACCAGATGTGAAAAACAGCTAAGCAGCTCCAACCTTATTTCAGCTCAGGATACAAAAATTCAAATCACTGCAGTCGATCCAAAACATAATGAAGTTTTCCACAGAGGTTTTCGGGATTTGGCCAACAACTATAATGGCTGTACCAATCCTAACTGTTTACTGAGACTGTGTATTTGCCCAGACATGAACACATGCCACGATTAACCATAGAACTATACTGTGATTTGGATGCATTGTGCCATACTATATTTCAATTACTTAAAGCCCCCAGTGCACTTGTGAAGAATTTGAATGAGGAGTTTTCCTCATAGGGAACAACGGTTTAAACACAGACTGTAGCTGTCAAGCTCATAGTGTCATTTCTAATCAGGCATTACTGTCATGATCTGTGTAACAAGCACTGAGACAATGGTGCAATGGGTAAAAGCAGGCCTTCCCTTTGCAAGAGACAAGTGGAAGTCTGATCTGGGAGCAGTGACTCTGTGTCCACAAATGAAAACACTGAAATACTGTTATAGCGTCAGTCAGGTGGAAATGCTGGGTGAATGTTCCGTTGATGGTGCACGAAGGGTATGATGACATCACTCTATGAACCATCTCTGTGGCCAGTAAACACTTTTTCATGATACGTTCGTAGTTTGTTAGATAAAATCTCACAGTAACTCGAACCCCAGCAAACCCTGTCAGTCCTGCTGTTATGTTGTATTTTGCTTCTTTTTTTTTTAAATAAACATCACAAAGACAATTATTACTGTCAACAACTTCCATGACCAAAGGCAGTGTGTAGTTGTCTAATCTGCTTTAATGTTATTGACTTCCATTCCTATGAGACATAGAGCCTACGACCAGCATGACACCACTGTGACATTAAATACTGCAATATGCCTGAACGTATTCATCTGAGTTGTTCATCTGTAGGCTATGGCCTACCATGAACATGCAAGTCTAATTATCAGGGGTCATATGATTGTATATGAATGACTCCGACAAACTGCCATGTGAGATGGTTACTTTAGTGACATCCAGACTCATTGGTTGTGACTGACTGAATCTAGTACCTGGCAACATGAAACCAACTCATGAGCATCAGCTGGACACTCTCTTAGCCCCCTGTCAAGCTTAGAATTTTGCCATGACGTGTGTTTTTTAAAGTTTGGCACCAGCTCCAGGTGCCCTGGAGCAGCTGACCCAGTGGTGTTGGACCTTGTGTTGTTGCTTAGCCTAATGAAAAACTTACCTTGAATTCTTCCAGGATTTTGTACGTTTTCCCCCGGTACTCGCAATAATTTTTTACTTCCTTGCACTCCGGGCAGCATCCATTATGTTCCACCTTGGTGCACTTAGGGTGAAGTCTGGGGCACTCGGGTTGGTCGCACACAGGCCCGTCCTCCGTGCACACGCACGGACAGTTCGAGTGTCCCGGATAGAAGCGCTCCCCGAGTTTGTAGACAAAACCACTGTCATCCACGCATCCTTTCCCCCGGTAGTCATCGAAAACGATGTTTTCATTGGCGGTCCGCTCCGATTCGTCTGCAGCGTAATCCTCGGGGTTACCCACCGAGGCCGGAGACCCGACGCTCAGGGCCAGAAGGAGGACGAAGGCGAGCGAGAGGAGAGGGCCCATCCTTCGCCGCAGCATTAATATCCACATTCAACAAGATTGTGTGGATGTCATCCCTAGGCGCTCGGTGTCCTCTCCAGATCCGTCCTGCGCGTCGTTATCACCGACATCATCACTTAAGGAAATGGGCTACAATGGAAAAAAATGAGAGATGATATGATGGATGACAAGTTTTCGGTGGCTGTTTGCTACATCCTCATAAACCATTAAACCTCATCTTTGCAATACTTTCCCCCCTTCGTCTTAGTGTGCGTTTTATGTATAGAGATAATTTAAAATTCACAAGGTATTTTATCTCCAGAGACAAATCGGTTTCCCTAGTGCAGCGTGCTCAGCAGAGTAAAGGCCATTATTCCTGAGAGCAAACAATTCGTATGTTAACATAAGAGGCATGTGGTGTGCCCTCATGTGCGGTGATGGTGGTGCTAGGGGTGCTGAAAATCACAACAGCCAAACCACAACATGAGGAAAAGGTTAAAACATTCATTATCTGAAGTGGGTAAACTGGGCTGCTCAGTGTATTTGCTATCTCCATAGGCCATTCAGTAAAACCCAACCTATTAGCTATAACCCAATTGTACCACCTCGAACTCTGTGAGAGCAACCAGATACAACAGGTAGTCTGTTTCAAATTCTCTTGAAGCTGATAATTATGCAAATTAGCGTCTTAACATTGCATTTACAGTAACTCATTGTCCCTAAATCAGCCATATAAGATGCAAACGTCCGGTCATTGCATAGTGATTTAACCCCAAAATGATGCACTACCCCTTCGGAAGGGGAAGCAACATATAGCTGAAGATAAATATTTCCTCCAGGCTTGGAACCGTTTGCTTTCTAAGTGTTGCATGGCTTGACAGATCAATTGAAATTCTAGTGACAACAGGGATATAAATTAAGCGACACTGAAAACTCACCGCGTTGAAATTGCTTGATATCCACTTGGCGTGAAGCCAGAGAGCTCACCACATCGACGGCTGGAGCAGATTACAGATCGTCGCTTAGCCTTTCGGAAACTTCACTTTATCCACAGGGTAAATTCACCAGGCTCCACAAGGTACTGTAATCCTCCCCCTCGATCGTGATGAACGATTTATTAAAAGCAATTATACCCCAGCATTTTGGAGATATGCTTCCCCGTTTCGAGTGCAAAAAAAAATGTTATCCACATAAAAGTAGGTCCGCTTCATTATGCCCATCGGACTCGCCTTTTAGGGACAATATCACAGTTAACGTCCAAAGGCATGCGGTGCGGAGACAGAAACAGAAACCAAGAAAAACAGCTAGAAAAATCCTCTATAGCATTCCCTGAGAATCCGGAGTCAGTTTAATATTTCCCAACGATGCAGGTGAATATTAAAAGCCGTCAGTCTTGTTGCACATACAGTACGTGTGTAGTCTGTGCATCCAGTGATTGCACGAAAAATAAACATCCAGGTGGGTTGAAGTTATGTAGTATGCAAAAATGAAACCATTGGAGGTTGAAGCCAGTCATTGATTGTTTATCTGGTTTCGGCAGAGGTCGCATTCATCGTCAGTAGGCGAGACCAAGGAGGGAGCGCTCCGACTTTCAGCACCTTGGAGAGCGACTGTCTCCTGCGTCCTGCACTGAGCAGAGCGAACCGCCCCCCCCCGCCCCCCTCTGTCACCCACAGTCAAAACAAACGCTCACATCTCACCAACCGAGGACAACTCTGACTGCATTTCTGGAACGGGTCCTGAAAGAGATAAAAGCTAAAAACCAAGTCAATCGACGAAATAAATGGTCAGCAGTCAGAGAGTTTCCCCTGGGGAGCAGCTGGTAAACTGAAGAGGTAGGTTAGATCTGTTAGATGTCTGTGAGTGCCTTTTTGTGTCTGTAGCAGAGTGCGCTTGTTTCCATGTTTGTGTCATCATCTTTTTGTGCATGTGTGTCTGTACACATGCACGCCTATGCCTGCCAGTGTCTTTACCCACGACCCACAGTCTGTTTCCCTGAGTCACTCATCATTTGCAGCACTGTTTACCCATTTGTATTCTATGGTGCAACGTGAAAAGGGAGTCTGACTTCTCCATACACCAACAGGAAAATACAGTATGGCTTTGCAGAGCAGCATCAGCTTTGTTTTACACATGGTAGCCCATAGGGGCCACTGCCAGACTACATTCAGTCTGAGCACAGATGACTGAATGAGACCCAAAAGACCTTCACTTAATTAATTATTCCCATGACGAATCATACACATCTTATCAAGGCAAACTTATGGCCTGCCATGTTTACCTATAATGGTATGTTTATGGCCTTAATCAAGCAATGATTCAAATCTGCTATTTTCCCCAATGTAACACACTTCCATTCTGTAGTTATTTAAGATCTGTTGCATGCTTGACCCATCATGGAAGGTCAAATCCAACCAAAATGTATGTTCAGGTGTCGGGTCAAGGCATTAATTGTAGGATTTTACTAGAGTAATAATATATACAGTACATTCAGAACATCCTTGCAGTGCAGATTTCAGGTATTCATGCATATTGGGTGATCAACATTATGTCTTTCCTGTAATGGAAGGGACTGAGTTAAAACCCACCATCCCACGCATAAAGAAAAACTGTCTAGTTAGAGAAGGACTTTAAAAGTTAGAGACAGCTAAGATGTGCATTGTTCAAGAAGGGATGCAGCTCAGCAACAAGAAGATGTCCTAAATCTATCAAGTGTATAAAAGCATTAATGCATGGGGACATACTGGGCCTTGTCTCCTCTGAATATAACCCTACACTGGAAAGAGCAAGCCTGCTCTCTGGTAACATTTGTAAAGAAAATTCAGGATCAAACTCAGGCTTTGTAACATTCGTGTCAGGTTTGGCGTGTACAGATGCCAAACAGAGGTTGTGGTGAACTCAATTAAATAACCAGACGAACCGAGGTAGCGACAAGTTCTTTACTAGTAGTAAACAAAACAACTAACATAAAGTCCAGGATATCACTCAGGTCGATAAGACAGTCCAGGGTCGGCGCCGGTTAACAGGTATAGCCCGAGGATCCAAACTCGAGGTCAAGGGGAACAAAAGCAGAAGGTCGGTACACAGCAGGCGATCAGAATCTGGGAGGGCATAGACAAAACACGGTGGTCAAAAAACAGTAATCCTAGGTCAGAAACAGAGAGTCAGGCAAGGTATAAGTGCTGGAGAGTCAGAGCTGGGGTCTAGAACAATCAGGCAGCGTCCTGGTGGGAGGACGCTGCCTAAATAGAAGTGAAAAACAGGTGCAAACAATAAGGAGCAGGTGAACTAATGATGATTAAATAAAAGGGCCAAAACTGAGGTGAAACAAAACAGGAAGTGATGAGAAAATAAAAGCATGACAGGAAGCAAGAGGGGCAGGAGCGTGACAATTCGACCTCCATAACTAAAAGGCAGTCAGCTCCTGTCAGCTACACTCCAAAGAATCTAAAATCTCAAAAATCAGATTCATAAGATGCATGTTGAGCTGTATTATTAGACTTAATAATGTGCCATCAGAGTGCAGTGCTGAATCACTCAGGTTGTGAGATAGCACAGATCCAGAACCGCTGACAGGTTCTGGCGGGGGTTTGTTATCAGATGCTGGTAAATCTGTAATTACAACAAAACCTGTGGCAGACGGGGGTTTGTCGAACTCCTGGTAACACAAGAGCATAATTACTGTGTCAGCTGAAACACTGAGCAGTCAAACACATGAGAGCAGACTGAAGTTACGCTGTTAACGTTTTCTTCTTGTCTAAATACAAAACAGATGAATGTATATTTTAATAACATTTTCATTGACTGTTGCTCTTAAAATCTGCATTTGACTGACTAGTCTTGGTTTTGCTTTCTGACTTTGTTTCCTCTTGTCCTCAAACAGATGTGCTTCGTGTCAAATTAGAAATCTGTTCAAGCACTCCCATGGGTTTTCTAAATGCATATCTGTCTCCAAGGCCCTTATCATGGATAAAACACACATTTTCCAGGATGCACTGGACTGCATCTGGAACTGTGCACCGCAGAGCACAAACAAGCATCCCTTCCCCCACTCTCCATATAGAAACATCTTTGTCACTGACCTGGTTTAATACAGGGAACACTTATGGTTTGTTTGTAAAGCATCTCATCTTCCTCTCTTTTCTCACGCAATCTTCCGCAATTGAGCCAAAAAAGTATATCATCTATTAAATATGGCATTTCACTTGAATAAATATTGGATCCCAAAGTCACATATGTTGTCTAAGAGAGCCAGCCGGTTACTCCAGCATGCCACGGTCCATTAGGCTTTCACTCTGGGTCATGGAAAACATGAAGCGGATGATACAGAACAACACCGCTGCTGAGAACTGTATTAGAGCGACCACTTCCATTAACAGACTCCTCATGTCTTATTGCTGGGTGGTGAAGTGGGCTTGCTGGTGGGACTCTTACATGCTCTCATATGACAGCTTCCTGAGCCTGCTAACAGGGATGTGCCCATTTTGGCTCAGCTGCTTGATGTGAGGTGAACAGGACTGGCTTCCAATTCAATCAGCTAATGGAAAGGGGTGCCCCCCCCCATGCCTCATGTAAAAATACATTCGCTAAAGCGGAGGCTGTACCAAATGTTATAATGGTTTAGCCATTAGGGCTACATTTAGAACCTGCTAGCATTATATTTAGTCACAGCTATTCATGCTGACTTATTAAACTGAATGCCAGAAAAGGAGAAAATAGAATGAGAGGAAGATGGTGAGAGAGAAAAAGAGGCCAGAGGAAGAAAGACTTTTATGTCAGTGAAGCTTACATATTTTCTCTTCCATGGAAACAGGGGTTATGTTTAATAAAGTATAGGTCCTCCACTGCTGTCTTTAGCAGGGAATTTCATGTTAAACAATGCAGCACTTGCTAAGTATTCTGTTCATGCCTTTAAATTAAAACTGGTAGTACAATTTTACTGTGACAAATTGAATTCGTAGTTTGAGCTCCTGCGATTCCCTCCTGATTTAAATGCATAACAATATGAATTAATGTCTCTTTGGCTGATCCACACACTAAAAAAATCTTGAAGATCCTGCTTTGAGTCAGTAAAGTAATTTAGTCATTGTGATGGAGTACTAAGTACTTGTCCTGGTTTTTTTAAGAAATGTTTTTTAATAGAAACCTACACCATTCCATACATAGTATATAAAGTGTGGCATTAATATACAGAGGCTCCATAATGGAAAATCAGGTATTTGCAAGAGCATTCAGAGACCTGGGGAAGATATGTGTAAAATGATACACCAAACATTTTATAGGATTTTTTTTTCTTATGCAAACATAGATAATGCTGTCTGATAATACTAATGTATAGTGACATATAATATAATGAAACTGGATAATAATGATAGCTGTGTGATAATAATGCCTGGTAATACTGATAATATCTGTCAGATAGTGTGGAAAAAGCTGCTTGTAACATTGTAAACTTTCATAATGGGAACCAAAAGGGGAAGAAGTGTTTGATAAACAGTTAGGGGAAGTATGAAACCGTATACTAATTTCAACCTAGAAACTTTTTGTAGTGTATGCATTGTGTGGATTGTATGCCTAAGTATTTCTATTCAAGCCAGCATCCAGAGAGGGCATCTCATAGCCCCTCACTGTTTCACCCCATCCACTTTCCTCTTTGGTCCTATAAACCATGTCCTGTACTTCATGGCACACTGATTCAGATATTCAAATAGCCCTTCTAAAGCAAGAGGAAAGAGATTCATTGGCTTTTTGGGATGAGCCAGCTTGGTGGCAGCAGTGAATGGGGAAAAAAATCCATGCTCTAGTCTCAGTTTGCTGGTGGATTGTAGGTCTCCCTGTGATACTTCTTATCCAAGCTGTGTTTAATAGTGCTCCTGTGGGTGCTGGCATTTTGGACCAAGTTAGAAAAAGAGCTCTTTTCCTCCTCCCATAGGGGACCTGTAGAGACTCTCAGATTCACTTTCTCCAAAGGCTGACAATGCTTCAGCAGCTCCGGGGAGATACTGAGCACTGAGATTGTGTCGCTTTGGTTGGTTGCTTCTTAATGACTCTGCTGCTTTAGACATGCAAATACAGTTGAAGTGGAGAGAAGTCCTGGAGGGACAACTTGGTGTATGAATCAAATGCAGTATACTAGATTTTACTGTGTAATGTGAGACTAAGTTATATGAATGAATTGAACACCCAACAACACCAGTGTGCATCATGAAGAATCTGATTCCAGGAGTTTTTCAAATGCCTATAAAAAGTATTCATCACCTTGAACTTATGAATTTTTTTTGTGCTGCAGAATGTATTTCTTTTCAGTGTATTTCTGCAAATTGAATTTCCAGCCCAATTAAATGAAAAGGGATCCTTGTAGAAACCGACTTAAAGGAATAGTTCGACATTTTGAAGCCAGAGCTCAGTACCTTTTTCTTTTTAAATCTTAGTTTGGCATAAAGCTCTGGCTCTGCATGTCCAACGTTAAAACACTCATTAACACTTTATATGTCCAGGCTATAAGCTACTCACCCCACTTCAATTCGCTTAAATATGCTAATGCCTTCTAAATGTAGATTCATAGTCAGAGGCTTTGACTCTCTATCAACCTTCTTATCTAACTTTTGGC